CATGTTACGTACAAGATAACTATACAAAATAAATGTAATATGTATACATATACGTTTCTTTTAAAGTTAATTAAATTAAAACTGTGTGAAGTTATGTATCAAATATTAAATTCTGCGTATATTTCAATAAACAATTTATGTTTGATAGAAACTAAAGACAAAAAAATAAAAAAAAAATGTTTGTCTGTTTGTTTAACAGATTTATACGTTATTTTCATTGTGAAGAGCTTGCTAGCTTTCATTTAAATACAACTACTAGCAGTTAAAATATATAACTTCAACTGACGGTACAGCTGTACGAGTACGTAGAATTGTATGCCTATATATAGCAAAGGTCATAAGATAAGTCTTAAATAAAGTGAAGGCGCTCAGAGCATCTAATATCATCTAAAATTACTTTCGATATACTCCTATAGATATATTTATTGAATTTTTATCTAATCAATAATTTGCCGTATGTCCGATGAAATATGAGCTAAATCCATCAGGTTTTGGACTTCACAAAACATGAAAAAACATCGCGGTAGACCCGGATGCAGGTGGAAAGACCACCTGGATACCTGGATGTCTTTATAAAAGACTGGCAGGTTATCACCAGAAATAGAGTAGAGTGGAAGGAGAAGAGAGAAACCTTTGCCCAGCATTAGGACAAAATAAAATCACAAAGTTAGAATACGTTGTGGGCACTAATATCTTATACCTACGATATGTTTAGGTGATAGGCAATTTTCGAGTTTAAAACTTTATGCCATTTTTGAGCTCTATATTTTCTCATTGGTCTAAGGTTAAGTCCACACATAGTAGTCGGAGGTACATCGCATTGCATTGAAATTCAATTCTTATTGTAGTGCAAACTTTCCATATATATTATTGATTTTTTAAGATACGTAATATATCTACGTTCTTTTAAAATATTGTAACAATATCCATTTTACTTTATATTTCTTGAAAATATTTTTCTAAATACAATTAATATTTTTGTTTTTCATGTCGAAATAACTCTGTGTGGTTACTTTATGATAAGAAACTTTAAATGACAAAATTCATTTTTAGGCTGTACTTCCGAATAGCCTATACGAGTACCTCCGATTTTGGTGTACACATCAATTTCAACGCGCTGATAACGGCTATGATAGTAATTACCTAATAACGATTATGTACAAAACATTTTTCTCTAAAATCAATATTTATCGCAATAAACGCGAAAAACATTACAAAAAATCGTTTTTTTTTTAAGATTTGACCTTGGAAATAAAATTTGCAGGTATTTTGACTATCATAGCCATTATCAGCGCGTCGAAATCGATACGTATACCAAAATTCAGATTAATCCGAGAATGAAATATGTATGAAGATTACTTTAATATGTATAAGTAATACATAATAAATAAGTACTAGCAATCCCGTGTCAAAAAGTACTTTTCCTCCTATGAAACAGAATCATTTTATTTTTTAAGGACAAAAAGGATTCTATGTTCAAAACCCTCTTAAAATACATTAACGCATACTTTATCCTATATTTTTTCTTTCTTTGAATAAAATGTATTTGGTTTTTGTGGTAGATGAATTAATTAGCTTGGCATGCGTATGCGCATGTAGCGGCCTCGCTGGTGTCGTGTCCTAATTAACGTCACGCGATACTGATAAAATAACGAATATAATGCACTAGCGACTCACCCTCGCTTCGTTTCGGGTTCGTCTCTAGACAAAAACAAATCTATCCCACGGGATTGTACATTTTTCCGGGATGATATATTGCCTACAGCCCATTTATTGAGGAAAGCCTCAATAAATGGGCTATCTAATGCAGGAAAAATTAAAATTGAATAGTAGTTCTTGAGATTAGCGCGTTCAAACAAACAAACTCTGCCTCTTTATAATATTAGAAATTTCTCTATCCAGATAATGCAGCTTACAAGATACACCATATAAAAAACCATAAAACTATGGTATATAGGAATCTATATCTAAACTATGGTATATATGTTGATATAGGAATCGAATGTTTTTAGAAGTATATTGGTATATATAAGAGTATAAACCTAAGAATTTGGTTTTTGGTCATCTGAATATAGCCGCAGGCAATGCTAGTAAGTAATATAACAGTATAATATTATACAATATCTACCATCGATTTATTGGAGAATATAATATCTTCGTAGCTTTAGTTATTTATTTGCAAGCGGTTGCATTTCAATAGTTAGCTTCATCAGTCGTGAAATACGAACCGATTATATCTCAGGTAACAAACAGTCCCATTTAAATGGGTTTAACGTCCTGTCAAATTATTATAATTCGCGTTATGAGAATACAATGAAATATGAGTTTAAATATTAAAATTATTAAATATTATTTATATATAAAAACTGTCTCGGAGTGTACATTTGAAAGTGCCTAGTCATAGCTGAGGTTATAATAGCAAAGGTTGGCAATTGTCTGCCATTTCTAGTACTTACCTAGTATCTATTAATTTTTTTTAAATATATTAAAATATTTTTTGTCCTTTGTTTCGAGTTGGTTCAGTTAATTTGCTTAGATAATATGTGTTGTATGCTTATTTTAAAGCAGTAATGCCCTAAGCAGTAACATAAGCCATACCTACTGTTTAAGACATTTAAAGTGACAAAAATTGGACAATATGTAGAATACGTTTTTTATTACATACATACCTAACTTACGCAACGATCTCTACATACAATTACAATGTATGTACATACTCTTTTACTATTATTTATTTTATTAGCTTTAACGTCCTCCTGCCTCTATACATATTGTACTAGCGATTCACCCTCGCTTCGGTCGGATTCGTTGCTAGCTTGCTTCCCAATAGAAATTTTCATCCCCATTTTCACCCCTTTAAGGGATGATTTCCGAGATAAAAAGTATCTTATATCCTTTCCAGGGTCTCAAACTATCTTTTTACCAAATTTCATTTGAACCGGTTTAGTAGATCCAGAGATTACCCCCTACAAAACAAACTCACAAACTTTACCTTTTTATAATATTAGTATAGATTCAGCCTTTTTTAAAGTCTCACTGCTGTGCACGGGCCTCCTTTGAATACTAGGGGGATCAGGCCAAAGCCCACCACACTGGTCAAATGTGGGTTGGTGGCCTACACATGTTTTTCGAAAACTTACTAAGTTCTCTCAGACATGTAGGTCTCACAATTGGTTCCTTACGATATTTTTCCTTCACTGTAAGCCTTACAGTGTAAGGCAAGTGGTAATCATGTTGGAAATGATTTGCACTTGAAATATAAGAGGTATGAGACCCAGGATTTGAACACGCTTCACTCGGTTTGCCAAATAAGCGCGTTACCACTGGGCTATCACTGCCTACCTATATTATATGTAACATATTAATTTGAGAATCAATTTTTATAATAAGTACTTATTTAATTCCAAACCAGTATATATTAGTCTATTTCAATAACTATATAACGAACTCCATACACCAAAAGTAACTAAAAAACAAAAAAAAAATATAAAAGAAGTTTTACAAAGAAGTAAGCATATGTAATTATAACAAGGTCAAAACTGAGGTCGACGTTGAAAATATGAATCGAATTAACGGTTCAAGCTCTGTTCTAACAGACAATATAATTCGTATATAGATAATTTAATGAAATGTTAGCATAATGGTACTGTTATGAGTCTGAGACCGAGCTTTGTCTGGGTTCTTATAATTGGATGGATAAAAACGTGATTTAGTTAAAAGCAGTGTATGAGTTATCATAAAATCTAATGAGCTTGTAGGTAAAAAGCTTCATTTTATTGAAATTACGTTTCTATGTATTATTAAGTTTTTTAATTTACTTTATTGAGTTTTAGTCAAAATTATGATAATTGGCAAATTATTTTGATACGTATTGACGACACGTTTGGTTCAGTTTGTAGTAGCCCTACTTGCTGTACCAGCGGTCGCGAGTTCAAGTCTCGCTGGGGGCATTCATTTATTGATGAACACATGTTTGTAGCCAGTCATGGGTGTTTATATTTATAGCATGTATTTAAAATTATGAGGAGAGGGCGCGGCAGCGCTACTGTCAACATCGACTCCGTATCGTTTTTACTATTAAAAATCATTTACTGCAAGCCTAGTTATACAAAGGTACCCAAAAGTAATCATGCGCCAGAAACATCGTCTGAAGGCAAAGTGAGAAGTACAAAATCGTGAAATAGTGCTAAAAACTGAACATAAACAAGCCCAGTGTATAGTGACTTTTCCTGTTGAACTTGTGGTCAAGTGCTGGTGAAAACAACAACTCAATATAAAAGTAACCCCTTGGTCCTGCCTAACATAAAAGAAATCAAGTTTACGACGAAGATTCGAAGAAATATTACCATCATAACCTAAAAATACCGTTAGCGAATATAAAGAAAAATCGTTTTCAAGTCAACACAGAGCACAGCGCCATCTAGCGGGGAATAGAAAAAGAAACAGCACTGCTTTATCGACATAACTACTACTCACTCCTGCCATCTAGCGACTTCTTTAGGAATTAGCTAATCAAGAAGCTACTAAAACAACCGCGCACAACAATCGACCAGCCATCCTTTCCTTTCTGCTTACCAACAGAGGGCACTACTCTAATCTCCACAATGGACGAAATTAAAACTATGCTCCTAAGTATGCAAGAAGAAATAAGGCAACAAAAGGTGGAAATGCTAAATATGAAAGAAGACATCAAGAACACAATTAACAGTAACATCAACGAGAAGTTCAAAAGCTTAGAAAATAAAAATTTACTTATGGAACAAAAACTAGAAACACAAAAAAAGGCGTTAGACAATATTGAGAGATTATCGAGAAGAAAGAACCTTCTATTCTTTGGAGTGGAAGAAACAGAAAAGAACTACCAAGATTTAGAGAACAAGGTGCTGGACATCATAAGTAATAAATTAGATATAAAATGCGACAAACCTTGCATAGAATTTGTAAGAAGACTTGGGAAAAGAAGCGAGAATATAAGACCCATCCTGGTAACATTACTCACCATGGGATTAAAAATACAAATACAAAAAACCAAAAAAATCCTAAATGGAACTTCGTATTATATAAAGGAAGACTTTCCTAAAGATGTACTGATCAAGCGAAAAGAACTTCAAACCGAACTAAAGAAGGAAAGAGCACAGGGGAAAAAAGCTTTCATAAAATACGACAAGCTTGTCATTCTTGAGAAGAATACCCAAGCTGGCCAGCAACAATTACCCAACAAAAAAAGACACCTCTCAGAATCTCCTGAATCATCAAATAACTATAATAACAACGAAAAACAAAACAAAAAACAACATACAAAAATAAACAAGAAAAATAATATGAACAACTTCGTTATAAAAAAACCCACGCTTCTTCACCCTGTACAAAGCCCTTCATATGAGCAGAACCCAAATCACATGAAGACACCCACAGAATAGCAAGCAATGGCCCCTCTCAATCTTCCAACCCGGCTGGTCACCGTGGAAGAGTACGACCACAACCCTCCAAATATCATTCCAGAAACAATTAAAAAGACTAGAAATAAAAATAACTACCTAAAAATCGCAACATACAACGTCAGATCACTCTCAACAACTGAAAAATATATAGAGTTAATTCACGCTATCCGAAACATAAACATAGACATACTCGGCCTAGCGGAAATAAGAAGAATGGGATGTAAAATAGAAGAATATAGCAGCCACATACTCTGCTATATGGGGGAAACACCCGGTCTAAATGGGGTGGGATTTCTCATCAAGAAAGAATATAAGAAAAATGTTATAAATTTCTGCGGACTATCGGAAAGAGTTGCGTTACTTCAGCTACAATTCTATGACAAAGACTTGGCAATTATTCAAGTTTACGCACCGACGAAAGACTCAGATGAAGATAACATAGAAAAATTCTACGAAACGCTACAAAAAGCTCACAGCCTAACGGAAAACTACAAAAACATCATAGTAATGGGAGACTTCAACGCCAAGATTGGACTACCAAAAACAAACGAAAATCTTATTATGGGAAAGTACGGATATGGAAAAAGAAACGAAAGAGGAGAAAGGTTGGTTCAATACGCCCTTGAATATAAAATGTCGATCATGAATACGTACTTTATAAAGAAAAATAATCAAAGATGGACATGGATATCGCCCGATAAAAAAACAAAAAATGAAATCGACTTTATTATGTACACTTACCCCAAAAATATTATAAACATAGATATCTTAAACAACGTAGAGTTTCCGTCAGATCATCGAATAGTAAGAGTAACACTCACCCTAAAAAACCCTAAAAAATGCAGAAAACACTTCCATAACTCGGTGGCATTATTAAAAACAAAAGAACAAATAAAAACATATCTTTCTAAGCTACAAACAAACCTCATAAACCTAACCAATTTTGATAAAGACAACGTACAAAAAACGTATGACAAATTCGAACTCTACGTAAAAAATAGCTTAAAACTAGAGACTGCTAACAATAGTAAAGAATACGAAAATAGTAAGCACATCTGCCATTTCTTCAACGATACAACAAAACTCTTGATCCTAAGACGCACCGAACTCATAAAAACCAAGAACAAAACACAAGAAATGAAAAAAGAGCTATCATATTTATTTAAACAAATTAGTAAGTCAATAAGAAATGATTACAAGCAACATAAACAAAATATAATTGAAACTAGCTTAACACACTATAGAAGCGTTAAAAGAGCTCACAAACAACTAACCATTCATACTGACTGGATCAAGAGCTTAAAAGTGGGACGAAATGAAACAAAATCAAGGAAAGACGTAATATCCTGCGCTACGAACTTCTACAAAGATTTATATGCTACTAAGCCACAGAACACAACACCGGTCAAGGAAATAATAAGCTTAGAAACAAATACGGGCGAAACGACTATAGTAAGAGAAGAAGACGTCCTGAAAAACATTAAAAAGCTGAGACGAGAGAAAAGCCCAGGGCCAGATGGCTTAAAGAACGAGGCGCTGATTGAAGGAGCGAAACTACTCACCGGACCACTAACAAGTATATATAACATGGTTCTAAACACAGGAAAAATACCAGAACAATGGCTAAAATCAGATATAATACTGCTATATAAAAAAGGAGATCCACTCGACATCGCTAACTACCGTCCGATAAGCCTACTCTCAAGTGTATATAAACTATTCACCTCTATCATACAAGATAAAATTAGCCCCCAAATAGATAGTATGCAACCGGTAGAGCAAGCGGGTTTTCGCTCCGGTTTTTCGACTATGGACCACATTCATATGCTAGAGCAAGTCATAGAAAAGCATATAGAGTTTAACAAAAACCTGTATATAGGCTTTATCGATTACACAAAAGCATTCGATAGTGTATTTTATAACTCTATCTGGCAAGCTCTACACAACTGCAACATAGACCCAATAATCATTAGAACCATAAAAAACATCTATGAGAATAGCGTGAGCAGAGTCAAACTGGAAACTCGAGGCGAAGAGATTAGAATAGCTCGAGGCGTCAGGCAGGGAGACCCGCTATCGCCAAAACTATTTATTGCGGTCCTGCAGTGCATATTCTCCAAATTGAACTGGGTATCCGAAGGCATCCCAATTAACAACACACGCCTTACCCATCTAAGGTTCGCTGACGATATCGCAGTCTTCGCCGAAACCCATCAGAAGCTAGAACATATGATATCGCAACTAAATATAGAAAGCAAAAACGCAGGCTTGCATATGAATCTAAATAAAACAAAAATTATGACAAACAGCAAAAAAGGAAAAATTAAGTTAGACGGTGTCGAACTAGAGTATGTAGAGCAGTACATATACTTAGGAAAACAAGTGTCTTTTTGTAAAACAAATAATGAAGAAGAGGTCAGGAGAAGAATTACAAGCAGCTGGAACAAATACTGGGCACACAAGGAAATACTAAAAGGTAACTACGATCTAGATATAAAAAAGACTGTCATGGACACTTGTATTCTGCCTTGCTTGACCTACGGCTCTCAGACTTGGACGTTTACAAACAAGATAAAAAACAAAATAATAACTTGTCAGCGGGCAATGGAAAGAAGTATGCTGAGCCTAAGGAAAATTCATAAAGTAAAAAGCAAAGACATACGAAGAAAGACAAAACTCACAGATGCTCTACATCAAGCACTAAAACTAAAATGGCGCTGGGCCGGACATGTGGCGAGATATACCGACCAGCGATGGACACTCAAAACAACTAAATGGACGGGCCCACAGGGAAAGAGAGCAGTGGGAAGACCAAAAAAACGATGGGTAGACGACATATTAACAGTGGCGGGGAAAAATTGGACCGGAACAGCGCAGGACAGGGAAAAATGGATGGAATTGGAGGAGGCCTACACCCTATCAAAGGGGTTCCTATAAAGAACATTAATAATATTTAAAAGTTATTACTAACACTAGAAGTACTCACTTACTAACATTAGTTTTAATTATGCATATTGTAATTATTTTATATTTTTTATAAGGCTTATAGGAAATAAAAAGGCTTTATTATTATTATTATTATTATTATTTAAAATTATATATGTGAAGTGTATCAACTATCTGGTATCCATAACACAAGCCTCGTAGCTTACAGTGGAACTAGATGCTGCTGTGTGTTAGTTAATGTCCCAACATATTATTTGTATTTATTCAGCCCCTTTTTAACATCCAACTATTGGGCGCAGGCCTTCCATTAATACGAAGGGGACCATGCCTAAGTCGACCACGCTGGTAAATGTGGGTTAGCCGATTTCACATGTCTTTCGATAACTTGCCAGGTTCTCATCCTAACGATGTTTTCCTTCGCCATAAGATAAGTGGTAATCATGTTAGAAATGATGCACATATAAAAATATCAGATGTTCAATACCCGAGATTTGAATCCGCTTCACTTGGTTTCCCAAGGGAGCGCGTTACCACTGGGCCCAACTGGCTCTGCTTTATATTGTTATGTATTCTAAATTTTTAGATGAATGTTTAAATTTAATGTTTGTATAGTCCAACAGCAAAAGTGTTATGTACACTACGCAACACTCTCTCACCTGTTGTTTTCATCTAGGTGTAATGTGTAACATACACACATGCAGACGCACGTGAATACGCACACACACGGCCATTATTCAAACATCGCGAACATATTATACACAAAGTAAAAGTAGATAAACTAGAATTACATACAGACTTACTTTAGCTATTTTAATACTATTAGGTACTTATTTAATGGTAAAGCTCTGAAAACTTCGTCATTCGTTTTTCTTTTATACCCCAGAGTGTTCTTTAGAGAATTGTTTCTCAAATATTTATTTCACTAAATGGAGGAAGTTGAATTTGTCAAAGATATTAAGATTGACACTAATACTATGGAGTATTGGGCTTGGAGTTTCCAAGTGATATATTATATATGTACTCGTACGTATACAATATGCCTTGTATGTTTAGAGGCTAGCGCGTACAGCTGCAGATCCAGAGGGTCTGCGTTCGAGTCCCGGGTCGGGCTAAATTTAGTTATCGGATCTTTCTGTTAAGAAAGACACAGGAAGTAGGGAAGTTGGCGGTGTTTCACTGCTGCATCTGATCACTTACTTGTGTTTATCCTGTTTAAACCCATTCCTTTGTCCAGGATCAAAGAGCCCTATTTCACTTTCGAATAAATCCCTTATCCACCGCTTAAAATAGTAAAGCATACTGACAATATTTTTAAGCAGTTGTTAGAATATTTTAAACTTTGGTTTCATGGAAGTGATCATATGAATTTAATGTTGAGTACATATTTTTACATGACAAACATACCTTGTTTATAATTACATATATACTTATTTTCATATTTGGTTCTTTATAAGTGTATCAATCAATCATTTACATGTATAGCTTGATGTTTTGGAAAGCAACCCTATATTTTTCTCTCCAATGACATATGTACTTTGATGACAGGCCTCATATTTAAAGCCTAATATTTAAAGCGATCAAACCGCTAGATTAATAGACCAATTCATACTATTTGTTGGCTATCTTTAGAGTTTAGACTGTGATATGTTATATGGATATTCGTATAAATTTTATTGACTGTTTAACAAATACTAGTTAGTACCTTTAGTTCAGTACCTTTTTCTCCTCCGTTTGTCAACAGATTTCCTTTTTTTTAGTAGCTTTTGACGATTTTTAGTATTATTACTACTCATAGTATGTACCACAAAGATATATTTTTTTCTTCTAAAAAGGAGGATTGGATGGCTGAGAACAATACAACAGATAGATGGAGTATACCAAAAAAATAATAAAGTAGTTATTAATTTTATGATTATTTTAAAGTTATTTTTTTTTTCATTTAATAATAACGTTAAATGTATAAATAACTGAAGTTATTATATCCAATATAAAACAAATATCCTATACTTTTATACAATAAAAATATTTTA